AAATAAATACATAAATAAATAAGTTTCCAGTGTGGGTAGTGCTAAACCATGCTGAGTTAGAGAAAGGGGGAATTTCCCGGCCAGCCCAGGCAGAGACAGGACAGCATGGGACGCAGATGGTCAGTGACTAGAAATTCCATTTGAATAGTAGGTTCTGGGCTGACCTAAGTCTTTGTGGAGCTGAGACGCATCAGTTCTGGGCAACTCAGTGGCCCTGAGAGGCTCTAGGTGTCAGCTCAGCAGAAGATGGGCTAGGTAGAAGCTGGCTCTAGACATAAGCCAGAGGTGGGGTAGGGCAGAGTTCTGTTCCTAGGGGAGTCCTTAGAGGAGAGGAGAGGGGATGTCCCTCTGCTGAGATCTAGCCCTAGTGTAGGCCCTCACTCGGAGCCAAGGGACAGCTCAGAGATGCTTTTTGGCAGCTGTTCTCCTTTTCTTCCTCTTAGCCCAGGGCTGCCCCACTTCCTCTGCCTGGGCACTAGGATCTCGCTTCTCCAGAAGGCTCAGTTCCTCACCCCATCCCCACAGATCTTACTCTGCAAGTGTCTTTGGCTGTGTTCTCAATTTTCCCTTCTCCTACACTTCTTCCTTATATAGGTTTTCGGGCATGAGTCTTCTTATGTTTATCTGTCCATCTGTCTCCCTGGCCCTTTTTCCTCGGGCTCCCCTCCTGCCCCTTGCTGATTGTATTCGGTTCCAGTGATTGGTGTCTGTCACATCTCCCCTCCACCTAGCCCTTGCTCAGTTCCTGAGACACTCTAGGCTCTGCACTGAGTTCTACAAGTATCATTTTTTTTATCCTTGAAACAATCCTGTAAGGCAGGTACTGCTCTCTTCCCTCACATACATCAAGCCTGCTGCACCTCAGGGCCTTTGCACTGCCTGTTCCTCTGCCTCTTCAGTTCTCTGGATCTTCGTATGACTCAGTGCTTCCATCAGGTCTCCGATGTCACCTTGTCATTGCAGCCTTACCTGACCACTTTATTTGAAATAACCCCACCCTCGCACCCCTTATCTCCTTTTTCTCTTTGTACTTAGTAACACACTGTCTGACTTACTGTGTTTATTTTTTGTAAGTCTGCCTCCATTAGAAAATAAGGGGCAAGGGTGTTTGTTTTTTTCCTAAAGATCCTAAAGCTCAGAGAGGTTAAGAAATTTGCCCAAGGTCTCATAGGCAGTTAGTAGCAGAGCCCAGCTTGAACCCAAAAGTGTGACTTTCCATTCTACAAGGAAAGTTGTGGGGTGAGGTTGGTGGAGGAGGCTGAGCCACCAGCTGAAACGCCTGGGCCTCTGGAGATGGGTGGGGTCCCCAATAGGACACAGCCAGCCAGCGTATGTCTGAGGAACCCAGGGGGAACAGGAAGCTTGGAGGTGAAGCACACTCCTGCACAGAGGCCCAGACCCTCCAGTAACTTCCCAGAAGGCAGGAGAAGAGCTGCTGCTGGTGGAGCCGGTTCACACCAGCAGTTTTCTGCCTGGGCAGTTTTGACTTCCAGCAGATTCCATGCCTTTGCAGGGGAAAGAACCAACAGCTTCAACCATGGAAACCAGGGTGAGTCACTTCTCCCCAGGCCTCAGTTTCTTCATCTGTCAAACAGCAGAAAGGGAGTTGAACTGGGTAATCTTCCAAGCCTCTTTCACTTCCAGAAAAACAAAGATTCTGTGATATTTTGGCTTTAGATTCAGCACACCTTCAGAAGCTGCATGCAGAGGGTCCTTCGTAGGGACCCCGCACCTCCTCAGCTCTGTCACCATTTCATTAAGCACTTACTGGGTGTCAGGCACTTGCCAGTCAGGGCTGATGGGAGGGAGGCCCAGCCAGCTCTGCAAGACAGCTGGCCTACCGGGGTCAGAATAGAAGGCTGGAGCCTGAGGCTTTGACCTCTAAGCAGAGTGGTGGTGATGTAGCCACCTCTTCCTCCCTGGACCCCTTTTTGTCATGGGAAGCCCTGATCTGTGAGAAAGAAGTTTCCCTGCCCCCAGAGATTAAGGCCGATGAAAAACATTGGTTGGAAACAGGGTCAGTCACTTAAGAAATAATTCAGTTTGCAGAATGACTTAGGGGAGAAAGGAATAATTTGGGCCCTGAAATAAAGAGAATCTGTAAGTTGGAGACCCACCCAGGGCAGTGTAGCAGAGCCCAAGCCACTGGATATGCCACAGCTTAGCCCCAGCTCCCTCTCCCTGGGGAATGAAGTCTTCCTGGGGCCCGCTGGATACCTGCTGCCCAGCCCTAGAGAGGTCACAGCAGACACAGGCTCTATCAAGAATAGGAGTGGATTGTTCCCACTTGCTTGGCCAGAGGGACCCAGCAGAAGGCTCTAAGCCAGGAGACCTGGTCCCAGTTTGATCCTGAGCAAGTTGTCTGCTTCCCAGGGCTGTGTTTCCCCTGAAAACGGGGGTACACCTGGCCACCATTTACCTGCCATCAGCTTTTGAGAGGGTGGATGCAAAAGTTAGAAGTTAGTAGATGGAACAGTTCTATGTTTGGAAAAAAGCCTGAGTGAAGAGCAGGGATACAGGGAATTGTCCCATGCTCCTGGAGGGTGGTTTGCAAAATGAGCTGTGGTGGGAGCAGTAAGTCAGCCTCCTTGGTCTTGCGGGTGAGAGTGGCTGGGTCCGAACTGTCCTCCCTCCCCCACTCTCTGTTCCCTGTGCTCAGCCCCCTGGCAGCTGTTCCTGAACTTGTTTTTCCAAATCACTAATTAACTTCACGCTCAGAGCTCCCAGGTGGGCCAACTCTCCTGGCTAACTTTTCCTCAGAGGGCAAGCTCCTTCTTCCCATGTTTCCTGGTAGAATTGGGATATATTGTCCCCACCCTTACCCCAACCCCTTCTATTTCTCAGGGGAAGGATAGTGCCAAGACTCTGGATTCCCAGCATTGCTATGACCACAAGCGGGCACTTTCACCAGCTCATCTCTGGAAGGCTATGGAGAACCCATGGCCTGGAGTCATTTGTCTGATGCCCATATTAGCCTGTATTATCTCAGCAGCCTGTTTCTCAGAGGAGGAAAAATGAGGCCAAAAAAGGACCATGAATTTACCTTCACTGGGGAGAAGCAGGCAGGAAAATCTCCAGGCAAAATTGTAGAGTAGGGAAGTTATGTTTTGTCAACCTCTTACTGACCCTACCTGTTTCTGATCAACCCAAGTTCAAGTGTAAATGAGTTACACACATAAAATAGCATACATCAGGGAACTGACTGCAAATAGGATCAACAATTCAGAGACCGCTTTCCTGGGCCTGCAAGTTGACCCTGCCTGCGAGGTGGTAAAGACAGGATATGAAAGGTACAGCCTTTGAAGTTTAACACTCCTTCTGGGCTGTGTGACCTTAGAGAAGTATATAACCTCTTGGATCTTCAGTTTGTCCTGCATAAAATGGGATGATGAGGCCCGCCTAACATGGTCACTAGAGGGTATGTGGGCAATTGAAGTATTTACAGAGTCCTTAACAGGCAGAGACAGCTGATGCTTATTCATTCTCAAAGTTCCCTTCGCAAACTTGTTCCTGCTCCAGAAGCCCCAGAGATGGTGCTACTTGCATCATTTTTTCAGATCCCCTAATATTCTTCTTTGATGATTTAGGGAACTAAGAATAAGGTTTGTCTTTCCTCTCCTGGCAAAGACTCCCAAGGAGGAAACCTTTCTGAGTCCTGTTGGACAGAGGGCCCTTAGAGCCACAGCCAGATGGAAATTGGGTTGGGGTAAGTATGGGGATTGCCAAGTGATTAGGGGGCCACAGACCGCCCTTATCCACCTTTTTAGATTCAGCCCCACCCAGGACAGGCAGCAGTAGGGGGCACAAGATGGGACCCCAGCAGCAGGCATCCTGACCATGATGAATGGCAGGGCATGAATAACATATGAAGACTGCATAATTGGTGTTATTACACATGCACTTCATCTCCATTCATAATGATTGGACACTTAAACCCAGCTGTTCCTCTGGCGAGTGCTGCTGCCATCATTCTAGCTAAGATCCTGGCAGCTATCAGGATCAGCCACTGGCACATTCTAATCTGTATGGTTCATTTTTTATTAGAGCTCAGAGTCCCAAGAGATGTCATTTTGTGGGAAGGGGGGGTGAGACTGGTTATTCTGGGCAGACCACCCTGTCTCCTGTCCTTACGCCTGTTGTCTTCCTTCAGGGACTTGTCTGGGCAAGATGTCATAGGGACATCCTGACGTGGGAGATGAGAGAAAAGAGCTGTGGCCAATGGCTCAGCCAGCAGGAAGAGACTCAGCCTGCTCTTCCTTGCTGCAGCCTGCCTTTGGGAACCTTAACACAGTAGACCTCAAACTTTAGTATGCATCAAGAGTACCTGGAAGGTTTGTTAGATTGCTGAGTCCTCCCCTCACCATTTCTCACTTGCAGGTTTGAGTGGGGTTTGAAATGTGCATTTCTAACTAGGGACCTGATGCTTGTGGCTTAGGACCTCACTTTGAGAAACACTGCCTTGAAGCCTAGTTACTCCAGCTGTGGTAGACAAACACACCTCACCTGAGAACTTCTTAGACATACAGAATCACAGGCCCTGCCCCAAACCTCGTGGATAAAAATTGTACCAAGATTGGCAAAGAGTTTGTATACCCATTAGAGTCTGAGAAGCCTGAAAGCACAATGACGTGGTTAGAGTTAATGCAGGCAGGGCCAGCGGCTGTGGTTCCCTGACCAATTGCTTCTGGTCAGGAACAGCCTCTATCATCTATGCACCATGGCAGGGACTAGGAAGCATTGCTGCAGAGCACCCAAGCAGATGGTTAAAGCCCCTCTGAACCCCTTGTATTCTTCATTGATATTTTGTGGTACTAAGAACAAGGTGTGTCTTTCCCCTTCTGGTAAAGTCTCCCAGGGAGGAGTCTACAATCCCATGACTGTACCTTACTCACACCTCTCACCTTCCGCCTGGTGATCCTTGTCCAGAGGTCCATAGTCACAGCTGGTCCCATCCCTCTCTAATACCTGCCCCCTACTCTGCTCTCCTCCCCTGCCCGTAGGTGGTAGCCTTCGCCTCTCTTTTCTTCATTCTGGTCTCCATCACTACCTTCTGCCTGGAGACCCATGAGGCCTTCAACATTGACCGCAACGTGACAGAGATCCATCGTGTGGGGAACATCACCAGCGTGCGCTTCCGGCGGGAGGTGGAGACAGAGCCCATCCTGACCTACATCGAGGGCGTGTGTGTGCTGTGGTTCACGCTGGAGTTCCTGGTGCGCATCGTGTGCTGCCCTGACACCCTGGACTTTGTCAAGAACCTGCTGAACATCATCGACTTTGTGGCCATCCTGCCCTTCTACCTGGAGGTGGGACTGAGTGGCCTGTCCTCCAAGGCGGCCCGCGACGTGCTGGGCTTCCTGCGCGTGGTGCGCTTCGTGCGCATCCTGCGCATCTTCAAGCTCACGCGCCACTTCGTAGGGCTGCGTGTGCTGGGCCACACACTGCGGGCGAGCACCAACGAGTTCCTGCTGCTCATCATCTTTCTGGCCCTGGGCGTGCTCATCTTCGCCACAATGATCTACTATGCTGAGCGCATTGGGGCCAGACCCTCTGACCCGCGGGGCAATGACCACACCGACTTCAAGAACATCCCCATAGGCTTCTGGTGGGCTGTGGTCACCATGACAACACTGGGCTATGGGGACATGTACCCCAAAACTTGGTCAGGCATGCTGGTGGGGGCGTTGTGTGCGCTGGCAGGCGTGCTTACTATTGCCATGCCAGTGCCCGTCATTGTCAACAATTTCGGCATGTACTACTCCCTGGCCATGGCCAAGCAAAAGCTGCCCAAGAAACGGAAGAAGCATGTGCCACGGCCAGCCCAGCTTGAGTCACCTATGTATTGCAAGTCCGAGGAGACCTCACCCCGGGACAGCACCTATAGTGATACCAGCCCCCCTGCCCGGGAAGAGGGTATGGTCGAGAGGAACCGGGCAGGTGAGATTAGAGGCTGGGAAGCAAGGTCCCTCTTTCCCCAGTGGCCAAGGGAGCTCCCCAGTGAACCTCAGCCCTTAGAATTTGGTGGTGTACTTTACTGTACTGGACCTTTTTTAGTATAATATGTGCCTTTATGAGAGTCAAGTATTGAGGCCACATTTCTCTGTCCTCTGGCTGGCTGTTAGCTTCCTAAACATTAGATCTGTGGAGTGAGTACTCCACCCAATGTAGGCTCTGAGCAGGAGGCTCTGTATTAGATTCCCTGGTTTCTAATCCCATCTTGGCCACTGTACTATGTGCCCTGAGGCCAGTCACTTAACCTCTCTAGGCATAGACTCCTTACCTGAAAAATGGGAATGATAGCAACATCTTACCCCCAAGACTTAGACCCAAATGAATGATATAAAAGCATTTGGAGAAGTTAAAACTCCTTTACAAATGTCAGGCATTGTCATTATTAGCCAGAGAGCAGGGCAGCTGTTCTTCCAAGGTACATCAACACATGAATCACTTCTTTCCAAACATTCGAGTGTGGTGTCTCTTGGCCTAATAATGGGATAACGTAACAGCAGTGGGAGGCTGCCTTCTGTTCAGCTCAGCTAGATTGAGTCCTGGGCTCAGGGTTTGACATGGGATGGAAGGGAACTGAGAAGGGTATGGCCCTCACAGTGTTAGGACAGGGAGGAAGGTGGAAGAAACTGGCATCTGCATTTTGGAAGGAGAGGACCTGGGCATCTGAATCCTGTTCTTCACGGACGGGAAAGGCCATCTCAAGAAAGTTCACCTTCCCCTTTGTCAGAGACAAGACTGGAAATCAGCTTGATCCCCAGGAACATGAAGTTAGGTTGGACAGTGGGGAAGGCATCCTGACTATTAGGTCTGGGCTGGGCTTCTGGGGAATGTATGGGATTCCTGGTAGGGGGAACCATTGGATGCCAGGCCACGGCCATCAGGGTCTGGGCTGGGGCCAGGAAACTAAGGCAACAGCTATTAGCATAGCTGTGAGGCAGAGCAGGAAAAGTCCTCCAGGGGAGGTGCCTGACTTGGAACACTAACGTGTGGCCACTTGGCATGTGCCCATCGTACAAGCTGAGGGCCACTCATTCCCTGGGTCCTGCAGGAAACTAGGTGTTGTTCCAAAGGCCTTGGTAAAACACCACCCTTCGGGCATCCCTCTTCTCCACCAAAGTGGAAACCCTTCCTAATCCCTAAATACAAATCTCTCAGGGAATTTCAGCTATACTCTGAGTCCCATTCAGACATTAGAGACAATCCTATTATCAGGAAGTCAGGTAGGTTCCTTAATACATGTTTAACTGCAGCCCTGTCAGCCCCACCCTTAGGCTAACCCCAACTGCTCAGCTACTTTGAGGGCATGCTCAGCCAATACCATGGCCATTATCTATGGGCCAAGTAACCTCCAGACCCAAGGGCCCCACTTCACCTGTCCTGCTGCCTGACAGGCGGGGTTGGGACCAAGCCTGTAACAACAGGAAGCTGAATTGGAGCTTCATCCCACAATATCCTCCCCAGACACAGGTTAGCCCTAGGAGTGGGGAGTTCTAAGTCTTTTGGGCACTGGACTGTGGTCTGAATGCCTAGCGAACAGGAATAATTGCTTCCAGGTGATAGAGCCACAGACAGCACTTTATATAGGTTTAACCCTGATGCTTCCCCCCTCATCCCAGCAAGTATACATTCTCCTCAGGAATGCAGACTTGTCCAAGTGTCAGCCTAAGTCGGACCCAAGGAGGAAGTAGAGTCCACCACTTGCCTTGGGCTGATCTCATGGCCAGTCCTCAGCAGGCAGACTGAGGCTCCCTGCCATAGGCTCTCTGTGCTATGGCTTCATCCTCGAGGAAGTCAGGCTTCAGACTGAGCTCAGCATCCTGCCCTTTGCCCGTGACCCCAGGCACAGACCTGCTCCACGGCTTTAGTGACACTCCCCCCAGGAAGATCATACGCCCCCTCCTCAGGTTGGAGAGTGACACCATAGGTCTGAGACCTGGGAGACCCCAGGTGACCCAGGCCCAGGCAATCACTCATGCAGCCTCCTTTCTGTCTGCCTCCAGACTCCAAGCAGAATGGTGATGCCAATGCAGTGCTGTCAGATGAGGAGGGAGGTGGCCTCACCCAGCCCCTGGCCTCTGCCCCTACCCCTGAGGAGCGCCGGGCCCTGCGACGCTCTGCCACTCGAGACAGAAACAAGAAGGCAGCTGCCTGCTTCCTGCTCAGCACTGGGGACTTTGCCTGTGCTGATGGTAGTGTCCGGAAAGGTATGGCTCCTGGGCCCAGCAGGTGGGAAGTCCCTGCGGAGCTAAGGTTCCCCAGTCCCCCCAACAGAGCTTGAGGTCCCCCACCCCTGAGACAGGAGCCACCATCTCCTCTGCCTTGTGCATCCTACTTTTAGAATAGCTACCTAATCTCCTAGTCTCTGAATTAGAAAGGCCACCAGCATCCTAAAAGGACACATGGAGCCCTCCTCACCAGGTACCCACAGGGAAGAGTGGTGCTAGAAGGTTGAGGGGACACCAGGACAGGGGACCTTGCTCCTTGCCTCCCTTTCCATCCCTCCTCTACTTGTAGGCCCTGCTCCACAGAGTCACTGCCATCCTCGCCCTAGGCCTCCCTTAAACACAGCAAAGCCTTCTCGATAAGTCCTCCCAGGAGATGCAGCAGCATTCAGGAGTGAGGGAGCCCAGCACAGACTCCACATCCTTCCATCCTGAAGTGGGAGTCCTGAAGCCCAGATGGGCTGACCCAGTCTGCAAGCCCATGGGGTGCCTGTCCGCTTGAGGCAGAGCCAGCCAGGGTGACCATGGGAAGGGGGGCAGGGTGAGTGGGTCCCATCTGAGCAATGTTCTGAAGGATTTGGAGAGGTAAAGGGAGCAGGGACAAGCAGGGAACAGCTAAAATTACATCACCAGCCCAAGCCTGTATCAGCCACAGGATAGAAGCTGGGCTATGCAGCTAGGGATTCTTGGCCTAGGAAAAGAGGACAAAAATGATAAGGGATGGTAGAGGGCTAGTGGCACAGAGCCAGGGTTTTAAGACCAGATGCTATTTCTGCCCAGTTTTCAAGAACGTTTTTGTCATTCTTGACCTATTCTTATGACCTAACCTATCTTGTTCCAGGACAAACTCTAATTCCCCCCGCCACCCTCAACCAAGCAATGCTCTTCCCTGGGTTCTCTGCCACTTCCTAGCCAGCCAGATTTCTTAACCCACTTCCCACTGACACTAAACCCCAGACTGGGCTAAGTGATGCAGGAGCAGTGGCAGCTGCAGGAGTAGCCTGTGATGCCTGTGTCCCCTGAATGATGTCCCGTGGGCAGCCCAGGCAAGGCATGCTCTGGGGGGCACCTTCCCAGACCCTTTTCCTCTCAGCACTACGACTCCCACATTTAGGCCATGCAGACTGAGAGGCATGTGTCTAGTTTTGCTGGGTATGGGTTCTGGGAGGGAGCAAGAGCAAGAGCAGCGTCCTGGCTCCTGGAAAGAGGTGGCCCAGAAGCCCCAGATAACTCGCCCAGACCTCATACCCATCCCCTAATCCTCAGGCCCTGGATGTGGCCTTCTCTTCTGCCTCTCTACCTGCTTCTACTGCATCCTTGTTCAGGCCCAGAGCCTTGCTCTGGCTGGAGCATGCTAAGTGGATAGCCTAAAATGAGGGGTAGAAGGGACCCCATCCCACTCCAGGGGCTGGAGCACAGAGTGCCAGCCTTGCCTGCTCTGCACAGAGCTGTCAAGCTTAGTAGGTGTAGGCGAGGCTGTATGGGACCCCATGGCACAGAGAATGGGCCGCACCTGGGGAAGGGGCCACACGTGTGCAGGGGAGCCTACACTCCACCACCCTATCTCTCTGGGGTGCCTGTGGGGCCCAGCTGCTCTATTTTCAAGATGCCTCTACACTGCTTCTTGGCAACAAGCATGTAGCTCAGCCAATTAGAGTGACCTTCGAGAGGGAACAGGTGGGTTGCTGGGAAACAGGCCCTGCTAAGCAAGTGTGGCAATTAACATCGCCAAACTCCCAGTGCGCGCTTGACAACTTTCCCCACGCCGTACCATGCCGCCCTTCTCTGTGCTCGGGCTACATTTAGGAGCAGAAGTGAGTGGGCCCAGGCTTCCTCCAGCCACTGGCACAGACCCCATCATTAACCTGTAGCTGCCCCTAAGTCAAGAGTGTCAGCTTCTTGGGAGGAAGGTGGGGTGGGTGCTAATTAGGGATTCTAGGGATTGAGAAGGCCAATGCTGGAGGCCAAAGGATCTTTGTGCAGCTGTGCTGTCAGGGAGCTGGAGGGGAACTTACCTGGGGACAGCACGAGACAAAGGTCAGCTGGATATAGGATCCTACAGTCTGTCCTCAGGAGCCCAGGTGACCCAGAGGTCAAGGAGAGTAGAGGAGCCTCTCTCAGGAGGGCCAGACCCTCTACCTCAGCCCAGGGCCACCTGCCCTGCAGGGTCCCCTGGAGCTGCGCCTCACTGACCCATGTGCCTTTTCTTCACCAAGGCTGTGAAAAGTCCCGGAGTCTAAACAACATAGCTGGAGCAGCTGGAACCAGCCTGGGGCTGTCTCCACTGGCATCGAGATACAGCTCACCCTACCCTCCAAGAAAGCTCCTGCTCGCCCACCCCTTCCATCCCCTCACCAGCCCACCCCCTGGTCACTCTGCCACTTAGCAACTCTCCTGCCCGCCCCTCCAGGCGCACACGCACCAGTCTGCACACTCACATGCCCTTCCAACCCACTTCCCTTCTGGGCCCTGAGAACAGCAGGAGGGGTGGAAGAGAATTCAGGCCCCTGAGCCTTTCCTGTACAGCACCCAGCTCCCCCACATGTTCAGCTGTAGAGCCTGAGAGCAAGGGGAGATTACTCCCAGGGCTTCTACCCCACCCCCACCCATACTGGTCTCAACCAAAGCCACAGGTGCCAGCATACCCAGGACCTGTGCCTGGGCCCAGCTTTTCTCTCAGGGTCCCACCAGGGCCAACCTCAGCAGCCAGGCATGTATGTGGTGGTACACAGCATGCCTGGGACCAGTCAGTCAGCCCTGCTAGGGAGCCATGCTTGCATTAATATTTTTAACCACTGCAAATGTATTTCCATTCCTTGTGGCCTTTAATCGGTAACAAAACAGCCTGTCTGTCTGTCTGTCTGTCCATCCACACCCAGACCAGTAAGAAAAAGGTTGTCACATGGGCCATCTCTGCTGGTGTGAGGGAAGTTTGATGCATTAGATGGGCAGTGCCGCCTTGGGGAAGAGACTTGATATCTTCCAGTTCCTGCCTGGGGTGCAGGTGGGGGCCCCTAGAATTGTAGCCTCAGGCGTGGCACAAGCCATGGGGGCACTGCCTAGACATGGGAGGCCCTCCTCTCTGGGGACCTCTGCCCACATTCAGCGGGGGACTCCCAGCAGCAGCGCCCAGCGTCCCATCTGTACTCGGCGCTGCGGCATCTCTCTCCACGCTTCTTCCTCTGCTTCCGCAACAGTTTTTCTTCCCTCTCTCGCTTCCTCAAACTCCCAGGCCTGCCTCTGAGTCACCTGCCGCTCCCACCCAGCCTCTGCGCTCTGTATTCCTGCCAGAACCGGAGACTCATCTAATTTCTATAATTAAGTGTATTCATTTACCTAACTAGCCCAGGAGCACAACAGGTTTGTGAGTCATTGAGTGAGCAGGGGCAAACCTTGCGCAGGGGGCAGCTAAGGGAATGTATGAGGACAGAGGCTGTCCTGCCCACACCTGCTGCTGCCACTCCCAGGAAGGGGGCCCCTTTGCAGCCTGAGGAACAGGAGCACCTCGGCCAAGACATTTCCTGTTTCACCTGATGGGAATTAGACCTGACAGCAAAGCCGTGAGCCTGGCAATTTTTAGAGTCAGGTTATGCAACTTCGTAGAGGGAATGACTAAGTAAGGTTTGTATCTGCTCTTTCCGTGATGGGCAGAGACAGGATGGCAGGACAGCATTCGGAGTCTCAGCAGAGGCTGGGAAATCTGGGGCCACCCCAAAAGGTGAACTGGGAAGAAAGATTAGGAGTCTGGGGGTGTTGTGCAAAGCCTTTGCTAGGAGCATCCCCCTCTCAGTACCCCCCTTGGCCTTAGGCACACAGGAATGTCCCTTCCAGGAAGGTCTGTTCAGGGTAGGTATTGGGATACCCAGCCCTGCTGTGGTCTGTGGGGCCTGTCTCCCTCTTACTCTCAAAGAAGTGACCCCTCAGAGTTGAGAAGAAGGAATACAGAGGTCTCTATGCAGCTGTCCTTCAGAAGAGGATAGGGACAGGGATGGGGAAGCCTGTGGAGCAGGATGGGGATGCTGGGCCCCTTTCCCCTCACAGCTGACAGGTCCAGTCCTGACCCTCAGGGCTCCCTGGCACCAGCGTCCCAGCTCTGGCAGGGATGTGGTGAGCTAAGCATCCAGGTTAGCATGGGTACAACAGCTAAATATTCTCCCCTAACTTGCCTTCTGGTTAAGGGAACTGAGGCCGCTATTTCTGTGGCAGCCCTCAAGTTGTCAGGAGCCCAAGTTTCCACGGCACCCACCGCCTCCTTCCCGCCCACAGGGACGGGCCTGCTCACGGCACCCCTATGGTGGGCACAGATGTCCCTGGGCGACAAGATGCAGCAGTGCCAGACTGGAGCCCCTAATGCTTGGGGAGGTGGGCTTTCACATGCTCCTCCTGGCTCTTTGGCTTGGTAAGGGAAAGACAGGACCCAGCTAGTGGGAGAAGTGAGGAGGGCCTTCCAGGGTGCTGGGGAAGCACAGGGTGAGTCAGTGAGTCCTGGCACTACAGAGTCCCCACTGTACACCAGGCTCACCCAGGCCTTGGGCCTGCTCAGGCTCTCCCTCACACACCAGCTGGGAGTGTAGTTTGTTTTCCTTGGACCAAGGTCCAGCCCCTTCCCACAGAGCAGGGAGGCAGCCCAGGTGGGAGGCCTCACCTTCCAGTGTGTACCAGGGCTGTAGTAGCCCTACAGGCCACTTCTCAGGGCTTCTAAAAAGAGGGGGCTGTAGCCTAAGACTGGGCTGGCAGGAGCCAGAGGAGAGGCAGTCTTTGGGCCAGGATCATCCTTTCACAGAGCTTGGGGGAGGAGGGCCACCTCTGCCCTGACCAGAGTATGTCACCATCTGTAAGCCCTGCCTTACCCATAGGTTCCTAAGAAGACTCCTCCCCAACTCTGAGGCCTCTGGGGATGGAAAGTCCATAGATCCAGGGAAAAAGCAGCCTTAAGGCCATTACCTCCCAGAATGGGTGCTCTGCTCCCCAGCTCTCTGGGCACTTCGTGGCCTTGCTGTGATGTCCACCCCCCCCCCCAATCCATGCCCATCCAAGGCCCCTCGGTAGCCCAGACATTCTCACTACTGCATCTCGGGCTCTAGTTGCCTACAGGAAACTCTAAGGATTCCCTTCATCCTCTAGAGGTAGCAGGGGATTGCTTAACCTCGGCAGACAGGTTGGCATTAGGAGTACAGGGCACAACCACAATTCTCTCTGCTGGTCCTTGGAAATAGGATTGTGAGAACCTTGGGCTTCTCTTATTTTCTCAAGAATGGTACTGAGAGGCTCACCACTCTAGGGGGCCAAGGGATGGCAAGGTGGAGTGGCTGGGGCACATAGTCTAAAGGAGATAGAAACAGCATCGCCCTGAGATGAGATTACCCTTGCCCTAGAAACGTGATGGTGGTAGCAAAGCAACCAGGTAGAGTTGTGAGTTCTGGATGCCAAATCTGATCCCCACTTGACAGGAGGCCTAGGACTGGACCTCAGACCTAATAGCTGCAGGGCTTGTCCCAGCATGGCCTGGAAGGAGCTGGAACTCCTAACCACATTGCTGATCCTGATCTACCGTTGAGGCAGCAGCATTCCTACCTGACCTAGCTATGCTCCCACTGGGGCAGTCACAGAGGGAAAGCCCAGGTCATACACATCCCAGGCTGAGGATGGGATCCCAATGAGGGTGCTCTGAGGGGTCGGGTTTCTCACTAAGATGCTATTTCCTGACCTTCTCTCCTGAGACAGGCACATTCGTCCTCCGTGACCTTCCCCTTCAGCATTCACCTGAGGCTGCATGCCCTCCAGCTACTGGGACTCTGTTCCTGCCACAGTGAGGAAGGGGGCTGGGCACGACATGGCACGATACTCAGGAGCCTTCTTCACCAGCTCCTTGGGACAGTGGAATATCCCAGGGTGGTGATGGCAGATGGAGCTATTTGGGGGAAAGCTCAAGTTGGACAGGCACCTGCTGGGGTGATGGCTGATGAGCCACAGGCCACATCAGGAACTTTCCCCACTGCCTCCATGCCAGGCTGCAGGGCTGTGGTCCCTCTCTCCACTGCACTGGAGTTTTGAAGACTTGAGAGGCTAGTGGTTCCTGAAGCTAGTGGTTACCTGAACAGGTATGGAGATGAGCAGCAACATCACCCAAGTCACCTTGGTCCAGAGTTGGGTTGCCAGAGGGGTGACAAAGGGCTCACCCCATTCCCTAACCCATCCCTGCTCTTCCTGGCCTCTTAGTCCTGGGTGCCTCCAGCTCTGCTTCTGGCCAACTCCTTAGCCTGCAGCCTGTGGGTCAGCAGCTGGCTTCTAATATCTCATTCTTTGTTTCTACCTTTCTTTTGCTGAACTCCCTGCCCGCCCGCCCCCCCCCCGAAGGCAATGTTGAGCCGAAAGTGTGCGTCCCAGTGTCTCACACCTGTACTCTTTAAACACAGAGACCTGCCAAGACGCCCTCTCGTCCAACTATGCCCAGGCTGAAGTCCTCACCCTCTCTTAAAGCGGCACCAACGTGAGAGAGACAGGCAGACAGACAGAAAGCCAAAGGCTTAGGGAAACTCTGGAACCCAGGCAAGAATCTTTCGCTGGGAAAGACTCAGATATCCTTGTTTGCACAGGACTGGTGGAAAACCTCCCATGCAACCCTCGGGGCCTGGAGCCATCTAGGTCTGATGTTCTGTTCTACTGTACATTGAAGAGATATATATGCACATATAGTATCTATATTCATACATACTATACTCTTGTGTGTAGTGCACGTGCTATTGGTGGTTGTCCTTGTTAGGCTATGTCTCTCCAACCCCTTGCCTCACCCTAAGTTTCCCATCCCTTTCCCTGATTCCTTATTGTTTCTTCTGACTGTGTATTTGGAATGTCCTAGGAAAAGTGTACCTGGGAATTGCAAGTCCAGCTGGGTGGTCCCAGGCTACTCTCTCAGGAGTGTTTGCCCTGTCACAGGGAGCCTATTGAAGGCCAGACTGCCCTTCAGGGTCACTGCTCCATTAGCCCCACCCCAGCCCAGATTGGGGTTCTACCTCCCACCCTGCACCCTAACTGTGGGGGACTTCCAGGGCCTCCACTCCTTTTTCCCATATCTGTGTCATTGACTGAGGGGGGCATTTTGTCTTTTTTAATTTTTGATTATTCTGTCTCCTTCGTCTGTTTGTTTTTAAAGATGCTGCTGGGCAGACGGGCAGGGAAGGGGTCTGTCTGCCCATCTGGCTCAGGGGTCTGAGAAGGGGAAGCCTCGGGTGAGAGGAGACCAGTTGCAATACTGTACTTCCTGGCCAGTGGCCAGAGGATGTGTGCAATAGCAGAGGCCAGGTGACCCCTTCAGCCTTGGCCTCTGCCCCTCCCTCAGCTCTCCCTCCCCACCCCATTCTTCCCTGCCCCTTCCTGGTGTTGGTCAGTCCTATTCTAAAGCTGTCTCCTTGTGTGTGTCTGAGGCATGCCTAGGCCGGGCCTTGTGCCCTGTCCGCATGCCGTCAACTGTTATGCTGTGCTCGAGCCCCAATAAAGACATCTGGAGCATCTTGCTGCTCCTGCTGTGTGAGCACCTGCCTCTGTCTCTCCTTTCTGGCTCTGTGTCTGTGGGGACCTCCCTGGGCTCCCACCCTCAACACCTGAGGAATACAACACACTCATAGCAGAACCCTGCCCTGCCCCCACATTTTGTAGCTGGAGACTAATGGTTAGAGAGGAAAAGCCACCTGCCCAAGGCCACCCACAGAGGACCAACCTAGTGCCTCTGACTCCCAGATGGTGTTCTAATCTCCACTACTGGCCGGAACAAAGCCCTGCTGTAACGCAGAAGAAACGACGGTTCCTTGTCTAAGGAATTAGTCTATATTCCTGCTTATAGTACAGGGCCCTCCCTTCCTCCCTGCGGCTGCACAAGTTCTAAGTGGGCCTTGGGGATGCCGAAGTCATTGGAATGACTGGATGGCTGATGTACTGAAGCCAACTAGGGACCTGTGGCACAACCAGGGACCACTTAGATATGGGGCATGAACACATCCTGGGCTCAGATGGGATGGGCCATGACCCTTCTGTTATCCCTCTCACACTCACATGGGGTGCACACAGGCCCAGCTTCATGGGTGTGCAGCCTGTGCATTTGGTCAGAGGGCCCCATACTGGGTTTAATGCCCAGCTGTTCCCATAATGAAATTAATTGCTGAACAAGGGCCCTGCATTTTCATTCTGCACTGGTCTTTGCCAGGTCTGGATGTACGTTTGTCCCTATTCTTGTCTTACTCTGGGCATAAACTTAGAGTCACAGGGGCCTCAGTTCAAAATCTGGAACTGCCAAGGGGTAGGTGGGTAACTTGGGACCAACTCACCAAACCTATCTCCCTGTCTGTCTGTGGGGTTAATGATAGCACCTGTTTCTGAGACAGCATGAAGATCTTGACCCAGGGGCATGTGTCTGCAGGTGATGGGCAGTAGAAGTACGGTAAGGGTTAGTTCCCATCCTATTCCTGTAGCTCTCAAGCTTTTCTGAATAGATTTCTGAGCTCTACATGTCTAGTCACACTAAGAAAGGACAAGAGCACCTGGGAGCTGTCTGGGGCAGTGTAGAACAGAGGAGTGAGGATGGCATGGCCAGGAGCAGGAAGAAGCCAGGGGAAGCCTGTTCCTGAAGCATAAGAGAAGACTGGGCTAAGAGCCTGGGCCAGTGAGGCGAGGCGGTGGCAGGCAGCCAGTGTCGATTAAAGATAAAATTTCTCCTCCAGCAGTGGAGGGCAAACAGGCTGTGCCCCCCCTTCCAGACAGGAGAAAGCCATTTGCAGCCAGCCTTGCCTTGAAGAAGCCTGGCCAGGCGATAATGGGGTGGGATGCGCTGCCGACTCCATAATGATATTATGCATCAGGGCCCACATCCAGAATGGCTGTTTTCTTCATAGATCAATGTGGAACCATTTCATGGTTAGGTGCTAAGAACCCAGCAAGGGATGCCGGGGGTCAGGATGGTGCTGAGAGGACTGAAGGGGATACAGCTGGGGTCCCCAGTGACCCCCAAAGATCCCGAGAGGAGGGAGGGGTAGTGTGAAGGAGGGCAGAGAGATTGGTGAGGGCTGACTGCCTCTCCCCCCATCACAGAAGCATCAGGCAGTGCTGTCCAGGAAGCAGAGGCTCTGGCCTTCTCTGTTCCCTGATGCTGGAGATGAGCCCAAACTGGGGAGCTGGTTAACAGAACAGGACACTGGTGATCCAGATAGGCTTTGGGAGTCAAACAGGCTTGGGTTTGAGTCCTGACTCCATCACTGACTTTGGGCATTTGAGGTATCTGTCACAACACTCTACTGAGGGTAACAAAGTGAGGCTCTCTCTCAAAAACAAAACTTCAGCATAGTGCTTAGTGTGTAATCATTGCTTATAGATATTAGGGAGTGGGGGGAATATTGTGGAGCAGCTCACTCCACTAACAGATGATTAGTTTTGTTTGATGTCCTCACTTTTTTTTTTGGTCGGGGCTGAGGTTTGAACCTGCCACCTCCGGCATATGGGGCTGGCGCCCTACCCTTTTGAGCCACAGGCACCACCCTGATGTCCTCACTTTTTAATGAACCAGCCTCATTTCAGTCTTGTCTCCCTGTGAAGGAGGAAGAGGGGGACTTTAATACCCAACAGCTGACACTTACTGAGAGCTGGGCAGTGAATTTAATGCTCATAAGAACACATTCCAAAACTGGTGTTATAGATGCCTGTGTTTCACAGAGGAGAAAACTGCAGCAATGTCAGGTCCTTTCTCCAAAGTCACAGAGCCCATAAGTAGCCCAGCTGGGATCCAGACCGAAGCAGTGTGGTTCTGTGGGCCCAGTGCTTAGCCACTGTGTAACCTGAACAGGGCTTGTGAATCATAACCCACAGCATAGGGGGTTGTGTTTTTAATGTTTTTCATTTCCTTAATCTTAATTGATTCTCATAGCAGAGATACTGCTTTTCCCTTTTATAGATAAGGAAACCAAGGTTTGGGGAAGTGAATGATTAAACTCATGCTCCCTTTTTATGTTTGTGAGCACACACACGCACGCATGCACGCATGTACACACATACACATACATAAAGGGAGAGGGATGTCTTCTCAGGCATCATTAATCAAAAAGTGGGAGGTAACACCCAGCTCAGGGAAGGATGGGTTCCTTTCCTCTGACCCTACTGGAGTTTCATTATCTGATGCACAGAAGAGAGTGAGCGAGCCTGGATGGGTCTGGAAGACAAGTTACATGAGAAGCAGCTTAGCCTTGAGGAGACTGGGTGGAAACTCGATCCTCACCTTCAGGTGTCTGAAGGGCAGCAGTGGCGAAGCGCATTTAGATTATTCTCTTGTCCCAGAGGGCAGATCTGAGACCAATAGGCAGAAATGTTAGGAAAGCAGGTTGGGTTTAAATCAAGATGAACTGTATTCTTTCTTGTTTTCTTGGCTATGACAAATTGAATACAAGGTACTGGAGAGCATCCCATACCAAATCAATAGGGAAGCCCCTGTCAGCCTCCCTCAATACCATTCTCCTCCTGGGAAGTGACACTGGCAACATCTGATATGGGTTCTTCCTGGGTTTCTGAAAAAGAGAAGCCTTGTAACAAAATTACCAAATTAGAATGAGCTGCCCTGTGGGTGGTAAAGGTCCGGTCCCTGCAGTGTTGAGAGAGGTGCTGGATGATAGGGTGTGCTGTGCCAGGGGGTGCTGGGAGAATTTCTGCCCAGTATGGGAAGGGGGATTTGAACTCTGCCTTAGTGGGCCCACACTGCCGGTTGGTGGTAGAGGTAGATCTAGGTCAGGCTTCTGAACAGGGCTCAAATGCGCTCTTTTCCTACCTGCCTTTTCCCCAGATTCCTCTCTGTCTCTTCCCGGCCCATCCTCCTTGGGGCCCATCCTCCTTGGGGCCCATCCTCCTTGGGGCCCACCCTCCTTGGGCCCCTCTGCTCACCACAGGGAGCACTCTCCATTTCCTAGCTCCAAGCGCTGTGTGTGGACACATTGATATCCACGCAAACGAGCTGGCTCAGTTACCTGAGGCTGCAGTAACCATACCCAGGCCCAAGACAACATGATCACTCCAGGTGGCTGCCAGGGACCTGGATCACTCCCAGACACTCTCAGTTGGGCCCAACCCAGCATCAAGGGCCTGAGGAGAGGAGGGCTGTGGCTCGAAATCAGAGTGGCCCCGGAAGCTTCTCCTTTCTCCACAAGGTTGTGGGGGCTGTCCTCCACGCTTCTTATATCTGCCTGCTTCTTCAGGGATTCCTGGAAGGGTAGTGGCTAGCAACCATATGTTAGGGCCATTCATCACAGGTCTACTGGAAATGCAGGCTTCTGTTTTGGCTGAGTAGGGTCCTGCATTAGCTTCCTGCATTAGCAATCTCTGGTCTCTGGCAGAGTGGACCAGGTTGTTCCTTTTTTCTCCTACACATTTTGTGTTAGGTGACCTAATCCTCTCTCCTGGCCTAAATCTCCTCCAGGTGCTAGTGACATCTACGTTTATAGTTCCAGTCCAGAAATCCCCTCGCAACTTCTTTTCTTCTCTTTCCTTTCCTTTTTTCTTTCTCTTTCTCTTTCTCTTTTTCTGTTTCTTTTTCTTTTTCTTTCTTTCAACAAGCACGTCCTAAATGTCCTCTATTCCAGGCACCGTTCTCCATGCTAGGTATACAGCAGTGTCCCAAGACAAACACCACTTCCCCTGGTGCTGTCCGTGATGCCATGGGCATCTTCCCGCTTCCCTGGCCCTGAGTGGTGATTTTGCCCTTCTTCTTCCCTGGTCTTCCTCTCGGTGTCCCACCACCACCACCCTGAAGCTGAGCCAGAAACCAGGGCGTCATTGTTAATCCCACCCTGTCATTCCTTAATCCACTCATTTGTCATGTATTAAATCTTTATTGAAATACCTGTACTCTGTCCTTAGGGAAATAAGAGTGAACAAACTGACAGGATCCCTGTCCTCATGGAGCTCACGTTCTAACGGCAGAGAGAGAGCAAATGACCAGTAGATGAAAAATACGTTATCTCCCACCCACTTTTCAATCTATTAACAAGTTTTATGTTTCTAGTTCTGAAACATACGTCACGTATTCTCCGTTCCCGCTCTCTTCGCTGCTTCCTTGAAACTGGATGCCTATAGGAGCCTCCTCCCTGGTCTCCCTGGGCTGCACTTGCTCCTCTACCGCCCATCTCTACCCAGCTGCCAGAAAGAGCTTCTTAAAATGGAAACCAGGTCATGTTACCCCTGCTTAGAGCCCTGATGGCTTGGTTCCCACTGCACTTCGAATAAAACCCTAACTCCTTAGGGGGGCCTTCAAGGTCCTGCTGTTCTCAGGCCCTTCTTGCCTCTGCTTTATCCCCTCTGACCAGCAGCTCAGACATCTGGAGCTCACTCTCACCTTCAAGATTTTGCCCATGGTTTGCCCTCATATGGGCCCTTGTACCCAACCCCACCCTCCCAACTCCTCCTCTTGGCTCCATCCTTCCTTGGAGAGGTGGTTCCCCTCACCGCACCCACCCCTCTGCCTCATGTCATTTTCTTCTTTTTTTTTTTTTTTGAGACAGAGTC